CACACACACACACACACACACACACACACACACACACACACACACACCGGCATATTGCTCTTTCCGCTGCTCTTGCCCTCCACCGAAGACCTCCCTTCTTCAGTACTTCCCCGTTGCCATTTGGAGATGAGCCTCTTCGCTTCTGTTGCAATAAAAAGGCATTTAAATTTTAAAAGGTACTTAACCCAGAACATTTTATGCTCGTCCTGAAGCTTCCCTCCTCAAGGGTTGCTGCTCAGTAAGCAAATTACCTCGCTTCTACGGGGACAACAACATATGTAGACAAAATGGTAGAAAGACGTTTTAGGAACTGAGAGCACTTTTGTCAAATGCTAAAAAAGATTCTTCACTTCTCAAATATCAAAACCAGACAGAGCAGTTGTTTGTTTGTTTCCTAAGAAACTGCAGCTGCTTTCATACCCAGATATATTCATCTGTGGTAGCGTTTCTGGCCAAATATTCACTATATTTATTATATATTACATACAACTACAGCAGTTTAAATGTTGGACCTTTTGCTACAGTATATTTTGTTAAATTCACAACTCTTTTTTTTCCCCCACGTTTAAATAAATAGCAGAAGCTGTCAGACGCCGACAGCAGAGAGAACAAAAGTCAGACGCGCTGTTAATCTTTGAACCAGAGTAAAATATGTGAAACTTTCTGTTCTGGCATTGGAGAAGACAAATATACATTCTATAGGAAGCACTGCTTTCCCCGCAGCGGCGGACGACTCTCTCTAGAAGAATTGCTGAATTCTTCAAAGAAAATCCGTGCAGCAGGGAGGCTAATGCTCGACACTTTTCCACCCGCTATGACAAGTACAGTTCCTCAGCGGAGGGATGGTGAGCGGGTGCACCGGGCCATTCTTCTCTTAGTTGATGGGAGGAAGGACTGCCTGGCTCGGCCGCTTCTTGACAGCATGGGGGCACTTTCTAAGTCGGTCATTTCCCCCCCCTTTTTTTTTTGTTGTTTGTTCCGCTCTGTCATTCCCCATGCCTTCGCTCTTGCTCTCTCTTAAGCCACAATGTCTCGCTGCCAGGAGACACACTTATACTCCACTACTCTGTCTTCATTCCAGCTGTGCTTCTCCGTCAAACCCTCACCTCTCTGAATCTAGTTCCAAAAGGCACTACCTCATTCCCCCCCGCCCCCTGTCTCTCTAACCCGCTCCCTTGTCTTGATCTTTCTTTCTGGGAGTGGATCCATACTCAGACACGGGCATGCAGATTACATTATGGATCCGCTGGCCGATCAATGGCCGCTCCACATTAAAAGGACGACCGACCGACCGACCCCCCCCCCCCCCCCCCCCCCCCCCCCCCCCCCCCCCACCGCTCCTTGGCCCGTCATGGCCCATCCTGGCCCTTAATTAGATGACTTTTATTGTCGGCTAATGGGAGAGGCGCTGCGCTGTGGAAGACCAAAAAAAAAAGCAAAGCGAAGCCTCACAGGTGGAGAACGAGAACGATGGACTCTCCGAATCAATTCCTCCTTTGACACAAAGGAGGCCTGCTAGATTGCTTAACAGTCCAGGTGGATACACAGCAACTTTAGTGGGATTTCTTCTTCTTCTTTTTTTAATCGATAATCCACCAATGGGAACTTTTCACTGTGGATTAACAGTCAGGTGTTAATGAAAGCCGGTGGCAGGCGAGTGCTGTGTGGATGGAGTGGTTAAGTGGTCGGGCCATCACTCCGCGTTGCATCATCAAAAGGTAAATGGAGTGCATGGCGGCTGAACGAGCACTGCAGCGCCAGACCAAGGCTGTTTTCTGACTCGGTAAGAGAAAGCCGGAGAAACGAAGCAAGAGAGCTAAAAGGAAAGAAAAAACACTAAAAGGCAACGACAAAGTGACAGATATGAATAGTGGAACAAAAGGAAGACAAGAAAGTAACCAAACAAATGTGTGGGCAGCAGAGTGTGTATGTGTGTGTGTGTGTGTGTGTGTGTGTGTGTGTGTGTGTGTGTGTGT